AAGTACGGCTCTGCAAGTCCTCATAGCTATATATAGATTCTTTCTTTAACACATAATTGTCCTATCTTCATAACGAATATAGATATCTTTAACTTTTGGATTATTTGTAGTAACAATTAGTTTTAAAATTATACCAGTCTGTCTTTTCCTGTTTATTTTCTCGAACAGAAATTTTGATTGTTTTTATTTTATGTCAGAAATTGAAACGGATGAAACATAATGACACTTTTGTCTTAAAAAATATATGAACATACTTGTTTCAACCTTTTCTAAAATTCATTTTATGTATTACATAGTACACCATTTGTTTTGTAGAAAATGAAAGGTATAACCTTTTTCTGCTTGGTTAAATGTAATAAAATTTATTTCTATTTTTTTTCTTACAGCTAGTGCATTAAATTTTATGTTTTAAAAGAAAGATCAGAAACACGTGTAGCTGCAGGAGAAATTCAAATTAAGGGTATTTTTCTTGACGTAAAAATTAAACTATCTCTAAAATCAAATGTATATATGCATGTTGAACACAGGTAGACTTATTTAATGATCGACCTGCAGCATAACATCCGGGGTTACAATTTACGTGGAATTCTTTCTTAGGTAAGTACAATATATATATTCCATCTTGATACTTGTCAGGAATTAATGCTTTCATAGAACAAATGTTTAACTACACTGTAAAAATCTGATGTAAGACATTTCCGACATACGTCTTACTGTCTTATTTAATCATTAATTATTTTTAAGTTGAATTTTAGTAATACATACAAATGATAAAATGTGTAAAATGTTTTAAGCCTAAACATTTTGTTGAATGAGAAGAATACCTTAATAAAGTAAAGAAAAGTACACTTAGCGTACATTATTACACATCTTTTAATTGTTAAAAAAACATATTTGTTCCTCTAATTATGTCTAATTCCACAATGTTCGCAATCATATTCAATTTCAGTTTGTTGGGATGCAAGAGAAAAGGCCATCAGCAGTGCTTGTGTTGGTATTAGTATCTCTTACTTTTTGCCTTTGGCTCGGGGCCATTGTCACCCCCGGATGGTTAGTTATAAAATTGGAACATACAAAAGCACAACCTGTATATGTTCATAAGGCAAGATATTATATTGAATTGCTATAAGCTTACACAGGTATGTCTTTGAAACGCCTAGACTGTCTTATCATGTGATTCAGTCATTGGAGTGTATGTGATGTATACTTTCATTGTTTCTAACCAATGAAAATTGTCCTTACTTTCTTAGAATACTATTGCAACATATTACTCATAATACAATACTATTGTACAGATCACGAGATTGTTAAAGATACATCACAAGATTTTGAATATACATCATAAGATTTTGAATATAGAGCATAAGATACTGAATATGTATCGCAAGATTTTGAAGCATATGTGGCAAATCATATGAGAATCATATGTTTACACATATGAATATCATATGACTGTATTGACATATGATTCTCATAAGAAAGGCCCTGCATATGAGAATCATATGTATATTTTGATATTTGTCATATGAGAATCATATGAAACCATATTCACTAATTTGCCTTTGTTATACTCAGGTAAAAATCATATGAATATTTGACAGTGATCATATGAGAATCATATGAAACAGTGATCATATGAGAATCATATGAAGCAGTGTTCACTAATTTGCTCTTGGTATATGCAATTAAATTTGAAATTTCAATCATATATATAAATATTAATTTAATCGACACTATATGTACATGTATACACATGCATTAAGAAAATATTGTTATGGTCTTATCTTAATCCCAATGAATTCAACTCAAAATGGTACATGTAGATTAATTCCTTTTTGTGCTTATTGCCATACCTAGTATATCTTAAACCAAACGCGTAGAAGCAGAAAAACAAAAAGAAATCTTTCTCTATATGAGTATTACATCTCACCTCTATGCAGCAAAGTAACCTCTTCTCTTCCTGTATGACGCAAAGGAACCATTTCTTCTTCTACAAAACCTGAATGTATTTTAAAAAAATATTGATTTATTTTTAATGTTAAAACTTAAATAAATTATACAAAAAGGTAGGAGCTCCATGTGCGAAAATGGGTCCATCTCAAAATTAATCAATCAGTCTTAAACTATTTAAATGACCCAAAGTCATGATAGCTGCTAGCTTGTTTTATTTTTTTTAAATTCTAACAATTTTGTTTAAAATAAGAGTATTGAACAATTAAAATTATTGTCATGTTACAACCTTGCTATAAAAACATAACAGTGGACCACAAATGATTACATATATGTAGTTTGATTTGGAACATTATTTCAAAAGAATTTGTTAGCAATTACTTATGTTAAGTCTCTACTTTGAAATGATATGATTTAAGATCTGTTTTTCCGTAATGCATAATACTAATTACATAATTTTGAATCATACTCATATAAGTTTACATTATCTCTAAATACCCTTCAGCAGCTTTCATTATTTTTTTTTGACAAGCATAATGGAAAAAAAACTCGTAAACGAACTTTTTCAAAAGGCAACCTGTTTGAGGGATGGGTTGGGTTTGTTGTGCTGCATGTATATCAAATAAAAGAAATGGAAATGAAATTTATATTTAAAGAAAGGGGGTCAAGTAACTAAAAGTATATTATATAATGATAAAAGCACATTGCAAAAAGAAATATTTACATCATAAAATCTAGTTATTATTTTTGTCAAGAAATGACTTACCAATGTCACTTACAATTTATTCATAATGTTACAGGTTACGAAACATGACTCAAAAGAATGTGACCATTATCATAGACATAAATAAAAACGTTATTTATGTCTCTGCTGTCATTTTGGTGTTTGTCGAAGAGTGGATTTTATTTTAAATGCTGCTGAATGTTCACTCGGCTTGATAAGATGTCTATTCAAGTAATGATGTGAAAATGAATATCCATTGCCTTGATTCTGAATAATCATTCAGTATTTCAAGAATAAATGTTTTAGAAGATACATCTATTACGATTGTTTTGTTTCTAACAGTGATATATGCTTATGCATGTATTAGTTCTATCCAAACAAATCACTTTGATAAATAACATGCTTTTCTTCGTTGTTTCTAATATAACCCTCTTGTACCCCCTCTGTTGAACAGTAAACCTGAACCTCTGAATATACGGTAATAAACCTTATTAACAAAATCGATATTTATTCATTAATATTTACATTTCCGATGTCTTTGTCCGAGATAAAATTACAAATTGTAAATTAATGTACTTTAATTCCCCATCATTGTATTAGCGGGGTTCCAAAAAAAAAACCCACGTGCAGGATTGGCGATATCAAAGCATTTCAGAATAAGGAATAACTGTCAGATTTATTTCAATTTCATGACGATGATCAATCGATTGGCCGAAGGCGTTTATGCATAAAATTATCACGCAAGCCAATCGATTGATCACATGAAATCGAAAGGTAAGACAGTTATTCCTTAAACAAAACGTTTTGAATGTTTATCATGATATATTTATAGCCTAGCGTACATGTATATGTGACTTCCACTGTCCTCAGTACACATTTTTAATTGAAATTTAATCTATCATAATGTAAGATACTTACATGTATGATGCAAAATAAGAAGGATTATGTAATCATTTAAACCATAAGCATAAAATACATAAGTACAATTTCTTAAGCAAAGATTTATATGTGGGTATAAAAAATCGCCAATGCGTTTGTTAAATGATCTGAAAACTACATGTACATTGCAACTACATGTGTATTTCCTTTTTGATGTAAATTAATTTAAAAAATTGTTTCAGATTGTGTAACTAATTTCTCAGGTAAATTCAAGAAAATTTACCCAAAAAAAAGATTTAGGAGGGATGATGGACAAAAAACCCAACAACAAATAAACAAGTTTTACTAACTGTCACATATGAAAATGTACCAACGGACATTTTGAAAATTCTTTGCATATTTTCAATTTAAAATTCTTACATTTGTTTTTAAGTTAATGAGTTGTCATATTTGCTTCAATCTGTCAGTTTTATTTATTTTTGAATATTTAATTATCTTAAATAGCCATGACAGATATGACCAGATGGACCGTGCTTTGTGTGACTTAATTATTGTTTATTTAAATCATAATCTACTTGTAAATCAAATTAACTCATGTCATATATTACTCAAACTTGTCAATTATCAACCAAGTGTATAAATACAAATTTTTGTTAACATTCGAGGGGTTGGAATAGGGACGCGCTTGTCCTTGATACTGTCCGACCCAACGAGAAATAAAGGTCTGCAAATCGTAAAGCGGCTTCATCTTCATTTACCAATAGTCCACCCTATAGTGGCTTTACCGACAAGCACACGCATCTAACGCGAGGGGGTGATATAACGATCGAATGCATGCTGACGAGGGCGAATGAGGACGAACCAAAAAAAAAGCAAAGTTATTAGATAGATCAGATAACATTGACAGGAATGTGAAATAAACGAAAAAGAAATCAGATCTGTTTTTCTTTTCCTCTATAAGATCTTTGACATATTGTAAATCATGCTTTAGTCGCTAGAATTTACGATTCGATAAACAATCTGCTCGCGAAAATTAAGTTCTAACCATTATTTTTATTTCTTAATGATATTAAGCATGAAAATTGAATTCGCGAAAATAAAGTTCCGCTTATAAATTTTTTTTTGATAAATATTATTTAGATTTTTTGATTGAATGAATGCTTTATATTTTATCTACAACCACTCTGTTTTTTAAGCTGGATAAATTACTCTTTTTTGCAACCTAGCAATCTGTTAGGGTAGTACTCGTAAACAGAAACAAAAATGGAGGAAAAACACTGCATGAGCAGTAATATCCAACAAGTCATACTGTTATATATTCCATTGATTGCACTTACATGTAATTCAATGCTTTGACTTTATCTCGTAAAGAACTAAATAGAGATTCTGAAAACATATACATGTATTTACTTTGAAGTTTGCAAAATAATTTACGAAATCTTTTCAGACTAAATATTCTCTAGAGATGGGCATCTTTTACGTCACTGTATGTGAGTCTGGAGCATGCGTACAAGAGGATTATGAGAAACTACCCCTAAAATTAAGAAACAGTATACGTAAGTCAACAATCGTTAAATTGAAGCCAGGCAATTTAAATTGCTTTGTGAAAGATTTACGACTAACATAATCAAATAAAGAGTATATTTCTTTCGCGTTTAAACTAGAATCTTTCATTCCTCCAACTTAATAAAAATAAATTTGACTCGAATGCATCAATTGGCAAAAGTCTATTTTGCATTATTTTTTAAAGAAAGTCTTTATTGTAAGGCTATAGTTAAGTAATTATAGATTGCAGTTAAGTGTGAATTTTTACGTTAAGTCACGATCTAGATTGACAGCTGTGCTCAAGGTAAATAGTACACGCCTCCTAACCGCTTTACAACTGGAACTTTCTTCTTATCCCTGACTGGTTGCTCGTGCAGACTATTTCCATGTCGATAATAATATGAGTTGACCAATCACGTAAATTGTTTACGCCGGATGCATCTGTCGAAAAAGATCGTGACGTAATGCAAAAACTTAACATTTAACTTATATTAATAATATTTCATTCCTTCTTTTAGCTGACCTGACGGAAATTAAGATTGAGGGCATTTCTGCTTTGGGTCTTTGTGTGACTGGCTTCTTTTTCCTGCTTTTAAACTTTGGAAATTCTTCCCGAGTCCTTACAGGGGGGATAAGTGTGCTTTTGGCCGGTAAGACAATGTCACTGCTAAGCTGAACGTCAATTCCAGTCGTAAATACATGCAAAAAATATAAATATAATACTGAGTTCCTGTTATCGAATTGAGGTTTTCTTTTATCAAGTATTTAACCATCTTTTTTTAAAGCTGTTGTTGAATTTGTTATGGCTAACCGAATGGTAAGGAAAGTTGAAGATGCCATCGATTTAATCTGGGATTATGATAGAATTTCAACGGATGGTTACTCCCCCATAATTTCTGCTGTTGGTACATCTTTCAGTCTCATTGTGTTGTACCGCTGTTGGGATTTGTACTCCAAAATTAGACGACAGCAAACCACAGACGGTCGAAAGCTGAAATTATGTACGATCTTCAATCCCAACAAGTTTACAATTCTGTGAAAAGGCCAAATTACAGAGATGCATCTTCCGTAACCTTAAACATATCATGTAAATGTAAATCCTACCAGTATATGCACGATGCTTGATTCAAATGTAAAATGTCACATTGTCCATATCTTTTATTTTGGCGTCATATTATTTAAAATATACTAAGTAACATATCAAAATATGCACATATAAAAATCTAATTAACATTGACATTTTGGTTTAATATTATAATGTTGAGTTCATTCATTTTATAGCTGTTTCAAAAATAAGACATATATAGGGGGTGTCGCCGCATCACAACTAAACTTCACGTTTTGTTGCCGCGTCACAACTGAACGTCACGTTTTGTCGCCGCGTCAAAACTAAACGTCACATTTTGAAGAATATATTTTGTAGGATGAAAGAGACAAACACTATAATATCTAAGAACGTGCCTACTATATATATAATTGGCCAATCATTTTTAAAGACAAAATTTACGTCATATTTAATGATAGTTAAAAATTAAATGACGGCATTGCTTTTTCTTCTTATTATAAACATTGTCTTTTACTCTGATGCATTGAACAAAGGAGGTGTAAAAGTATTGGGGGGGGGGGGGTCGCAACAAGCTGTAATGCATTTTGCATTTTTACATGAAAATGGGGAAATTACTAGTAGAGACAGTTTACTTTGATTATTCAGACTCGCAGTGAAAAGAATATATAAAAGTCGTGTTTAAAAATGGTTTCGGCGATTTTGGGAAGGTTGAATGGGTCATTGAATGATTAGCAGAAGACAGGAAGACCAAAAGATGAGAGGTCGGACGGAAACGTATAGGAGTATCTTGTGTCTGATGTTATCAAAAGACATGAGTTATCTGTTATAGAAAGGGATATGACAACTTTGTCTCGTGCACTGTTAAAGGAATATTGAGTGACAGAGGACTTAATTATAAAAGGAGTGACTCAAATGAGTTTACGATGGAACATACCAAGAATTCTTTTAAAATAACAAATTTATGAACGTGTTCGTGAATCTCAAATATTTTTTTATTGGGACACGTTTGAATGTTATTCTCTATTTGGAAGTTGATGGCTCGGTTGGGGGTAGTATTAAAACAAGCCATCAACTTCTCAGTAGAGAATAGTTTAAATGTATGACGGCGTGTATCCATTAAATGACGTTACTGTTATTCAGAGGTGGCGACTACTAAAATCTCACTTTGTATATAAATGTGATCTTTATAAATGTATTAATCACATGTTAAATTGAAAATTTTCAGGTCTGAATTGAAATAAATGTAGCTTTCATCATGCCATTTTGTATTTTGTCTTTAGTAGCAATTTTATTGAAGTTGCATTAATTTTGGTTGATTGATTGATTGTATCTATTGTTGAACGTCCCTCTCGAGAATTTTTCACTCATTTGGAGACGCCACCACATGCCGGTGGAGATTTTGTCTTAAACTAGTACTTTGGGCCATTGAGCAGGGAGGGATCTTTTTCGTGCCAGCACCTACTGCGACATGTGGCCTCGGTTTATACGTTCTCATCCGAAGGACCGGTGTCGCATAATATTTGGTCCGCCTCGTTTAAAGGTCCGGCCGGACCAAATACGATAACATATTTGGTCCGCCTGGCTCTATAAGAAAAGGTCCGCCCTCGGCCTTTTATACAAATTGTATGTATGTGGTTCATTCGATATTAATTGAAAAATTATTCTTTTATAATTAATTAAGGATATAGAGTCGTACTAATAGCTAGTGTTTTCTCCCAAGAAAATGTATTAAACAATAAGTAAGAAATCGAAATTAATACATAAATAAAGGAGTGTATAGATTTATTGATCGGGTTTCCTAGATAGGACATGCTTCTCTTGTCGTTTAAATTAATACACTAATGTCAACATTATCATTAAAAAAAATTTAAGAATAAAAATGTACATACATTTACCTTCACCGCCTTGTTTACTGGCAGATTAATCAGTATTGAATGAACAGATAAATGTTCGTAAGTCCAACACGAATCATTTAGTTACACCCTCTTTCCTATAAACATGATAAACGTTTGACTAATCCACTCACAAAAAACTGAAGTTCATATCTTTCAAAATATATTTCTTTATAGTATTGATAAAAGAAATCTGTCATTCTTTAAGTTTAATATTGTTGTAAATAACTGGAGGGTCACTAGCTGTGACAGGGGCTTATGTCACGATGTACTACCCTACACCCCTTATAGTAAAAACAACATGCCTACGGATTGGGCAGTTGGGGGTTAGCCTATAATTGTTTCGTTTGAGAAAACCTAGAGTACCATATCCCCTGTGTTTTTTTTTTATAAGTTAACACTGTTTCTTATCTATTCAAAGGCTTATTATCATATCTACTAGATCTCTGCATTTCATTTCCTGAATTTAACATTGCCGACAATTTTTGTTATTATTTCGGAATCCGACAATTTTATTTTCATATTTCTTTTTTTTTCACATTTTCGGATTTTTTTAGGATACCTTTACGGCAATTAAAGTTAAACATTTAAAATTGTTTACTTCTAGTAGTAGTAGTAGAAGAAGTAAAGTTTCTTTGACAGCTAAGAGCAAAGTCTTTTATTTGAATAAATTATCTAAAATATTTTACCTTAAGGATTTTTATAACGGATGCATGAATTCTTTTTTCATTTACGAAAAAGTACTGACATGAATTTGACAAATGTCGGTGATAAAAACTTTTAAAAAATGTAAAAACTTAAAAATGTCGGAAATGAAAAGTTCAGAAAATTCCGGAAATGAAATGCGGCCTACTAAATATTACTCCGGGACAAGGTAAATGTGCATTAATTGGCGAAATCAAACAAAATTAAGTCGATAAACTGCTGGATTTATAAATGCCATTATTTTTCATATTTAATATACATGTCGCTCATATAAAATCTCTGTGCTCTACATTTATGATATATGATTTATACTTATGTCTCTCGGTTTCGGTTTCAATAAAAATCCGAAAATTTTATACCCCCTCCTTAATGTTTTTTTTTTGGGGGGGGGGGGTAATGGAGTGTAGTAAAATCACGCAGATACCTGTCAAAAAAGTTTAAAGTTTTAAAGTATACCGATATTGTACATATAAAGATTTTGAGTTTAAAGACACACAATTTCAGAAAAGAACGAATGTACTTATGGGCCCTGGTAAAATGTGAAAAAATAAACAAAGTTAGCAAAATCTGCATATCAAATCATTAATTGATATCTAAACCATACGATTCAACAATTTTTTACGCTGAAATTCACGAAATATAAACAACAAAACCATACAATGTGGTAGGGGTCAGCCGACTTTTGTAATCTTCTATTAATAGTAAATCGAGAACGGTCATTCATTTCAAAGTTTCTGTTTACAATGAGCCTAACTTTGTACAAACTTGTGTGAATGGCAAAAGACGTATAATACATTTTTAAAGCTTGTGTGAAAGTAGGAAATTTGCACACTATTAGGCTGGTACTTAAAATATTAATTAAGGAAGTTATAAACACTGTACACTAAAAAAGTTTTAATCTCTAGTTTTCAACTTACGAAAATAAACCCTGTCCAAAAATTTTCCCTTTCTAAAATAAAAATATTTAAAATACCAAAAAAAGTCCCTTTATGACATAAAGATATCTGAAATACAGAGGGCAACCTTTTCTGATAACTGCGTTTTAAGGTCCGCCCTGTCTATTTTTCTAGTTTTCAAGCTACAAAAATAAACCCTGTCCAAAAATTTCTCTTTATGACATGAATATATCTGAAATACAGAGGGCGGACCTTTTCTGATAACTGCGTTTTAAGGTCCGCCCTGTCTATTTTTCTAGTTTCAAGCTACGAAAAAATAAACCCTGTCCAAAAATTTTTCCTTTCTAATATAAAAATATCTGAAATACAGAGGACGGACCTTTTCTGATAACCGCGTTTAAAGGTCCGCCCTGTCTATTTTTCTAGTTTTCAAGCTACGAAAATAAACCCTGTCCAAAAATTTTCCCTTTCTAACATAAAAATATCTGAAATACAGAGGGCGAACCTTTTCTGATAACTGCGTTTTAAGGTCCGCCCTGTCTATTTTTCTAGTTTCAAGCTACGGAAATAAACCCTGTCCAAAAATTTTCCCTTTCTAATATAAAAATATCTGAAATACAGAGGGCAGACCTTTTCTGATAACCGCGTTTAAAGGTCCGCCCTGTCTATTTTTCTAGTTTTCAAGCTACGAAAATAAACCCTGTCCAAAAATTTTCCCTTTCTAACATAAAAATATCTGAAATACAGAGGGCGGACCTTTTCTGATAACTGCGTTTTAAGGTCCGCCCTTTTTTTTTTTCTAGTTTTCAAGCTACAAAAATAAACCCTGTCCAAAAAGCCCCTTTATGACATGAATATATCTGAAATACAGAGGGCGGACCTTTTCTGATAACTGCGTTTTAAGGTCCGCCCTGTCTCTTTCTCTAGTTTTTTAAGCTACGAAATAAACCCTGTCCAAAAAAGCCCCTTTATGACATGAATATATCTGAAATACAGAGGGCAGCCTTTTCTGATAACTGCGTTTTAAGGTCCGCCCTGTCTATTTTTCTAGTTTCAAGCTACGAAAATAAACCCTGTCCAAAAAATTTCCCTTTCTAATATAAAAATATCTGAAATACAGAGGGCGGACCTTTGCTGATAACTGCGTTTTAAGGTCCGCCCTGTCTATTTTTCTAGTTTTCAAGCTTCAAAAATAAACCCTGTCCAAAAATTTCTCTTTATGACATGAATATATCTGAAATACAGAGGGCGGACCTTTTCTGGTAACTGCGTTTTAAGGTCCGCCCTATTCCCTTTTTTATTTTTTTTTTATGCTTCAGTAAAGAAGCATATCTAAAAATTCGATTTTTAAACATGAAATATCCGGAAAAAAGAGAGGGCGGACCTTTTCTGTTAACAGCGTTATAATGTCCGCCCTCCATTTTTCTCTTTTGTAAATAAGGGAGAGATGTACATGTACCCCGCCCATACTTTTTGCTGTGCAATAGGAAAGTAAATAAATATAGAGGCGGACCTTATCTGATAACTGTGTTTTAAGGTCCGCCCTATTCCCTTTTAATTTTTTTATGCTTCAGTAAAGAAGCATATCTAAAAATTCCTTTTTTAAACTTGAAGATATCCGGCAAAAAACAGAGGGCAGATCTTTTCTGATAACTGCGTTTTTTTTTTTTTTTTTTTTTTTTTTTTTTTGCAATTATTTATGCTACAGTAGAGAACTATATAGAAAAAAAAATCCCTTTTTGAAACATGAAGATAGCTGAAATATAGAGGGCGGACCTTTTCTGATAACTGCCTTTTAAGGTCCGCCCTTTTCTTTTTTTTACTCAAGCCCTAGAGGGGCTTGAGTTATCTAAAACGATGCTAGGTCATCGAATTACTCAGTTTAAAATTACAAAAATATATTAATTTTGTATATAAAAATATTTCTAGAAACAAAAATGAAGCTTATCTTGAAAACGTTTGTATATTCAAAGATATTAAGTGTTAAATAGCGGATTATTTTCTATAGCGAATGAACAATGAGTGAAGCGTCGCAGCCGCAACAGTTTCTATACAGAGATTTCACGCTTTCCTTTGCGTATGAATCCCAGGTAACTTTTTACAGTCGCCGACAAAGCATCCTTGGACGAGTCCACTGCAGACTCTGAAAGGTGATGCAGGTTACCCCATCGTTAACAAATTCTACAATGCATGGCCAGAAAATGTATGGCTGTACCCCCCAACTGAAATTGCTTTTCACGGGCCTGCAAATGATGTGTAATTTGAGAGACAGTAAAATAAAAGCACAAAATCAATGTTAAATTCTCGTATTAAGCTTTGGTACCGGAAATTATATACTTCTTTTGGTTCGTACCGAATATGCATTGGACATGCCGCTCAGATAGATGAACCCCATCGTCTCAAGCCACGGTCCGCAGTAGGAGAGGATCGTACATTTTGTCCGTGGTTTGCAACGATGGATGAACCCGTAGTCACGTGGATTTTTTGGAGCCTGGAGCCCCCCCCCCCCCTTTCACTTTGAAAAACTTTTCTACAGGCTTTTAGCAAGCTATCTTAATTGATGTATGTATTGAATGAGATGTACATCATTAAGCAAAAAATACAAAAACGTATATAGTTTGAAGTACATGTATACTAAATGTCTACATAAAAAATATTTCATTAAGAAACGGAAACGTTACTATGCTCTATAAAATATTCCTGGAAGTGTGTCACGTAAATTCATCTTAAAAAGTAATCAAGTACGATT